GCATCTGGCTGTCCAGCTGTCCCAGCATCATATGTTAAAAAGACTATTCTTTCCCCATTGAATGATTTTGGCATCCTTGTCAAAAATTGGTTTAACCATAGACACATAGGTTTGTTTCTAGACTCTAAAGTCTATTTCATTGATTTACATATCTTTCCTTATGTAAGTACCACACTATTTTGATTACTGTTAAGTTATAGTAAGTTTTGAAATTGGGAAATGTGAGTACTCCAAATATGTTTGTGTTTTTCAAGATTGTTTTGGCTATTTTGGGACTCTTGACATTCCATATGAACTTAGAATTAGCTTTTTAATTTCTATAAAGAAGTCAGTTGGAATTCTGATCAGAACTGCATTGAATCTGTTAATCAATTTGGCAAGTATTGACATCTTCACTATACTATGGCTTCCAAAGTCTTGGGTTTGTCTTTTTATTCTCATAACAGTCTTTCACAAAGCAGAAGTTTTTAATTTTAATGAAGTCTAACTTACTAATAGAACTGCATTGAATCTGTTAATCAATTTGGCAAGTATTGACATCTTCACTATACTATGGCTTCCAAAGTCTTGGGTTTGTCTTTTTGTTCTCATAACAGTCTTTCACAAAGCAGAAGTTTTTAATTTTAATGAAGTCTAACTTACTAATTTTTTCTTTTGTGGATCCTGCTTTTGCTTGCTTGTCTAATTCTCATCACCAAACCCAAGGTCATCTAGATTTTCTCTGATTTTATCTACCAGACATTTCATAGTTTTGCATTTTACATTTAGGTCTATGATTTATTTTGAGTTCATGTTTCATAAAAAGTATATGATCCGTGTCTGGGTTTATGCTTTTTGCTTGTAGGTGTCCAATTGTTCCATTACCACTTGTTGAAAACACTATCTTTTTCCCACTGAATTGCCTTTGTGACTTTGTCAAAGACCAGTTGACTAGATCTCTGTGGGTCTATTTCTGAGCCTTCTGTTTGATCCACTGATCTACTTATATATTTTTTCACCCATACCATGCTTTATTATAAGCTTATATAGCTTGACAATAAGTCCTGAGTTTGGGGGGTGTCAGTATTCTTACTTCATTGCTCTTCTTCAGTATCGTATTGGCTACCCTATTTTTTTTGTTGTTGTTGTTCATTTGTTTGTTTGTTTTGCCTTTCCATATAAACTTTAGATCTGTTTTCTGTTGGTCAATATCCATAAAATAACTCGTTGGGATTTCAATTGGTATTGCCTACAATCTACAAATCAGGTTGTAAAGAATAAACATCTTTTAGATATTGAGCCTTTCTATCCATGAACATGAAATATTTCTCTATTTACAAAATAGAGTTTTATAATTTTTATTGTACATAACCTGTACATATTTTGTAAGATTTATAATAAGTATTTTATTGTTTTGGTACTAATATAAGTGGTACTATGCTTTTAATTTTATATTGCAAATGTTCTTTGCTGGTCTATAGAAAAGCAATTGACTTTTGAGTGCTTCCTTCGTATTCTATAATCTCACTATATTACTTATTAGTTCATGGTTTTCTTTCTTTTGTCAATTTTTTTATGATTTTCTACATAGACAATTATGTCATCTATGAACAAAGACAGTCTTATTTTTTTCCCCAATTTACATACCTTTTATTTGTTTTTCTTGTCTTATTGTATTAGCTGATACTTCCAGTATGGTTTTTAATATTAGTGATGAGAGGGTATGTTATTGCCTTGTTCCTGATCTTAAGGGAAAGTATCTGGTTCTTCACCATTCAATGTGACGTTAGGTGTAGGTTTTTATTAGATGTTTTTTTCTTAATACTTCCAGTATGGTTTTTAATATTAGTGATGAGAGGGTATGTTATTGCCTTGTTCCTGATCTTAAGGGAAAGCATCTGGTTCTTCACCATTCAATGTGACGTTAGGTGTAGGTTTTTATTAGATGTTTTTTTCTTTAACAAGTTGAAGAGCTCCCTTTTATTCTTAGTTTTCCAAGATATTCTATCATAAATGTGTGTTGTATTTTTTCTGCATCTGTTGACTGGGAGCCACTCTCAATTTCTAGAAGCTGCTCACATTCCTTGCCATTGATCCTCTCAATATTCAAAGCAGCAATTGAGAGCTTCTCATGTTTAAACTTCCCTTGTTCATTTAATCTGTGACTTGTTCTTCTGTGATCAGCTGGAGAACACTCTTCATTTTAAAAGGATCATGTGATTAGGTCTGGCCCGCCCACTTAATCTCCTTGTCTTGAGGTCACCTTATTTGGAAATTTAATTTCTATTTGCAAAATCCCTTCACAGAAATACTTAGATTAGTGTTTGACTGAATTACTAGGAAAAGATGTGTCCACCAGTGACTGGGAACTTTAGGGGGCCATCTTAGAATTCTGCTTACCAAAAAATTTTTGTCTGTATCTTTGTTATTCAGAAGTTGCAACTATGATGTACCTATAAAGGTTTTCTTTGTATGTACACTGCAACTCACTGAGCTGTTTGAATTATGAGTTCATATCTTTTATCAGTTTTGAAAACTTGTCATCCATGGTCTCTTCCAACATTGCTTCTTCTCCATTTATTCTCTCCTATGCTTGTAGGAATCCAAACATATGTTAGAATATTTGATATTGCACAAATATCTCTAGTACTTTGTTACCTTTTAAAAATTATTTTTTCTTTCTATGATTCAGTTTGGGTAATTTCTTTTGCCATGTCCTCCTTTTCTCAAGTTTATGTCTTTTTCTAAGTCCATCCAACGAATACTTCATTTCAGATATTCTTTTTTAAAATAGTAGAATGGCTATCTGTTTATTTTTTAGAATTTACCTGTCCATGATGAATTTGCCATTGCTATATACTTTGTTCATTTTTCTCTAATTTCTTTAATACGTTTAAATTAGTTATTCTGAAATCTTTTGCTGTTGTTAATTGCAACATCTGAGTTACCTGTGGGTCTGCTTCTATTGCATTGTGTTTGTGTGTGTAGTAGCAATTGTGTTTTTAAAAATCTTAAAAAGTGACGTAATTTTTATTTTTTATAAAGAAAGGACACATCCTTACCTATGTTTTGTAGTTAGTGTGAAAGGCTGTGTTTTTTCAAACAAATCAGGAATTGTCTGGGTTGTGGCTATATGTCAATTTATTAACTAACTAATTAACTAATTAATAAACTAAAAAATTAATTTTAAAACTTCATTTCACATCCGATTTTTAACATTTTCAGAATGAGCTCTGTCTCATGTGTTTGGCAGACCCCTCCCTCTACCAGAAATCTGGCATATAAACACTAGAAACATTATGAAATCTTTCTCTGCTTTCTAACCAGGCTACCAGCCTTCCTCACCACCACACCATGTGTAAAATCCCCACGGGAAAGAATCATCAATCAAGGAGAGAGATTTCTGCATTTGAAGCTCCTCTGGCTTTCAGTCACATAATTTCACATTTTCAAGTTTTTTTCTATTAACGTAAATACTAGATATCAAAATGCAGAAGGTAAAAAGAATTTCTATTTTTTGAATTTTTAAATAGAACATTCTATCCTTCATAAATAGAGAACAGAATAGCCTAGCTGCCTGGGAGAGAAGAAAGGCAGGGCCAATAAGGTTCCATTTAAGTTCCATGTAGCTCAGAGAAGATGGAGAAGGGAGAGCATGAAAAAATAGATCAATATTTCAAAATTAGATTCACTTTGCCATTATGCACGTGGTGAATTGTTCATACATAGCTTATTTTCAGCCTCTTTATCCCTTGCATTCATGCAGTTCTTATTCCTCAACTGTTAGGAGAATGACCTTTCTTTCTGTCAGCCTGGTGTCCAGATGGAAAATAAAGCAGGGTTTCAATAAGAAATTATGGCATGAAGTAAAATGGAGCAATTAGAGTAAAAGTAATAACTTCTCCTGCAAAATTAGTGGAGAAACTTGGGAGGGGATCTCAAAGGAAGAAACTATTATATTTCAAAAAATTGTATTAGGAAAATAATTAGAAAAATAGTTAGAAAAAGCTCCACAAAGGAATGGACAAATGCCATGTATTGATCAACTCTGTAACCCTCTTGCCTAATACTGAACTGAGTATACAAGACACACAAAAAATATTTGCTTAATGAATACATGCTTTTCCCATGGTTATGCAACTATACGGATTAAAAATTTTCAAATTTAACATAAGGTAAATATTTCATAAATATTTCCAGATTGGATGAACCAATTCTGGAACTTGGAAAAGAATAGCAGTTTCCTTTCTTCTTGTCTAAAGCTCAGTTGATCACAGTGGGTTTTAATTTTGTTAATAATCTATGCCAAAAGCATTAGCATTGAGGTTGACTAAATGTTACCTGATAGGTTTTGTTTTGTTTTGTTTTTAACCTCTCCTCACTAATCTTTGCAAAATAGCCATCAGAAAAATGAATTTCCTCATTCTTCTTGTGCTCTGCTGAGGTGCCTAATAAAGTGTGTTGTGCTAGGACATTGATGGTGTCACAGAGTGAAAGAAAAACTTCTGCCAGCATTTTAAGTTGTTGTCTAATGACATCATACTCGATGGGATATATTGTGAATTTAGTCTCAGAAAAAGTGTGTTAATTGCAGAACCAGTTACTATTGTCACTGTTAATCATGGAACTGAATTTGTTTTTCTATTTTTTTATTGTGGTAAAATATATATAACATAAGGATTGCCATTTTAGGCATTTTAAACATACAATTGTATGGCATTAATTACATTCACAATGCTGTAAAACCACCACCTCAATCTATTTCTAAAACTTTTTTGTCATCCAAAACATAAACTCTGTACCCATTAAGCAATAACTTCTCATTATTCCTTCCCCCCAGGGTTTAGTAACCTCTAATCTACTTCTGTCTCTGAAATTTTTTGGAACTGAAAGTTCATTGTTGCTAAGATGGTCATGTTACTTGAGATAGTTTACCATCTACCTTTGTCCTATTATTTAGCACTCAGTATATATAAGGTGATATTAAATCATCACTGTGCAGAGGTTGGGAAAAGAATACCATGGGGTACAAAACTCTGTGCTTTGGACTGTCTTGTATTATCTATGCTTATTATATTTCTGCACCCATGCCAGAAAACATTGAAGAACCCTGGAAAGTAGGGGTCCTGGATGCTCTTATAAAAATGACTTCAGTTACGGTAATTTTCTTTTTCCCCAGGGAATTGGTATGCCTTGGTACGAATATATATAAATTTTCATCTAAATAGTATTTTGATAAAGACTTTGGCTTTCTTTTAGGATAAATCAGTCAAATAATATTAGTATGTTTAATTTAATTGATAATTGAGTTGTTTACTTAAATCTGTGCAAAGCAGAGGGAGACAAAAAATTCTTGCTGATATAAGAGTACACATCTAAAGACCATATATTGTGATAAGGATAAAAAAAATGATTTGTCTAAAAGGAAAATTTGGGGGATTGTTAAATAACTTCATTGTATTTGACATTTCTGAGGAAACATGGCCTCATATATTCTGTTAAGACTTACATGTATATATTAATTATGTTTTTACATTTTGATGTATGTTTAATACCCTTACTATTTTAATGTCATTCTCTTTTTAAGTGCTTTTCATACTTTTAGTTTCAGGAACTCTTTACATTCTTTGAGTTATTGAGAACCTCAAAGAGCTTTTTATGGGGGTTATATTTATCAATAATAACTGCATTGAAAACTAACCTCATTAGAAATTAATTCACTTAATGATAGTGGTGATAATGATAATGATAATAATAATCCCATTACAAATTAACATAACTGATATATTTTTAAAAATAGGAAAAATTAGTTACAATCGTGGGGCATTGTTTTTCATTTTTGCTGATCTTTTTAATGTCTTTCTTTATGGAAATTAGCTGGGTTCTTACATCTGCTTTTGCATTTAGTCTATTGTGGTATCACATGTCCTGTAGTGTCTAAAAAACTTCACTGTATACTTATGAGGGAATTAGATTTTTAAAAAGGCAGAAAGAGTCATAGTATTATGCAAACTCTCTGAACGTGTCTCAGAGACCCACAGAGGTTCCAAAACCACACTTTGAGACCTATTTTCAATCCTAAATTGCTGGATTTTAAATTTTATGTGACAATGGTTAGCTGGGTTCTTACATCTGCTTTTGCATTTAGTCTATTGTGGTATCACATGTCCTGTAGTGTCTAAAAAACTTCACTGTATACTCATGAGGGAATTAGATTTTTAAAAAGGCAGAAAGAGTCATAGTATTATGCAAACTCTCTGAACGTGTCTCAGAGACCCACAGAGGTTCCAAGACCACACTTTGAGACCTATTTTCAATCCTAAATTGCTGGATTTTAAATTTTATGTGACAATGCTGGAATATGAACTCATATCTACCACATTGAAAATACCATGCTCCTTCTGTCAAAACATGCTACTATCTGGAGGCCCTACGGATGATAGTGACAATAGGAAACCTCAGGGAGAAGACAGCAGCAAACAATAAATGAGCAGAGAAGAGAGAGCTACGCGTGCTGTTTGAGGAAGAACTGCCTACTGTTTTACCCAGAAGAGACAACAGATTTCTGAAACTAGATATCTGAGCCATCTTCTGCTGAAAGTCCAAAGTCTGCTGACTCATCCCTGGCTCGCATTTTTTCTGTTAATTGCTTTTGTCTCACCTGGTTCACTGGAAAAATACAGGAAAAGTTGAATGAGCAAGTGTCAGTCCTACAGAGAAACTATGCTATCTTCCCTGAATAGCTCATAAATCTTTAGACTTCAGAGGGATTAATGCTTATTTCCTCATCAATATGAGCACATTCCAAAAACGTGCAACTGTGGAATTTGACTTTTACCTTCTTAAATGCAAAATAAAATTAAGATGTTGCACATCTAAAATAGAATTGATCTTATGCTTTTGCTTCTATATGTATTATGTATATCCATGCAATTAGAAACAAAATATTGAGAGAGAATTGTTTTAATGATTATGCTAGTGGTTGACCAGCTTCTACTTGTCTAAGGAATAACTCTTTTGTTATTGTCATGACTAAATTACAGTAACTGAAGTGATTCAAAGAAGTTAATTTTTAAATGTATGTCAAAGAAGCAAGCATCACAGTTCTTAAAAATAATAATATTAATATATAAATACATTTTTAAAAAAGGTTAATTCCCCTCCACCAAAAGAAGCATCACAGTTCTTGATAAAATGGTGTGGAAAAAATTTAATACTCTGCAGTTACACATTCAAATTGTAGACAGTATAAGGTAGGGGAAAAAGCATGAACTTTAAAGCTAATCAGATCTTAGAGCATTTACTTAATCCTTTTGTAGCACTTTTTCTTCAGCTGCAAACTGAGAAATCTAATTAACATATTGCAGGGTTACTATGAGAATAGGAGGGCATGTGTTCCAAAACATCATTTATAAATATTTAGAATGGTAGCTGATTACTATTTAATAGAGAGGTAGTCAGTATCTATTCTATTCTCACAGGAGCAATGAGAGATGAGGAGCCAAAACTCTTTTTATAAAAGTTAATTTTAAAAGTGACACATTTACTATTGCACATCTAAAATAGAATTGATCTTATGCTTTTGCTTCTATATGTATTATGTATATCCATGCAATTAGAAACAAAATATTGAGAGAGAATTATTTTAATGATTATGCTAGTGGTTGACCAGCTTCTACTTGTCTAAGGAATAACTCTTTTGTTATTGTCATGACTAAATTACAGTAACTTAAGTGATTCAAAGAAGTTAATTTTTAAATGTATGTCAAAGAAGCAAGCATCACAGTTCTTAAAAATAATAATATTAATATATAAATAAATTTTTAAAAAAGGTTAATTCCCCTCCACCAAAAGAAGCATCACAGTTCTTGATAAAATGATGTGGAAAAAATTTAATACTCTGCAGTTACACATTCAAATTGTAGACAGTATAAGGTAGGGGAAAAAGCATGAACTTTAAAGCTAATCAGATCTTAGAGCATTTACTTAATCCTTTTGTAGCTCTTCAGCTGCAAACTGAGAAATCTAATTAACATATTGCAGGGTTACGATGAGAATAGGAGGGCATGTGTTCCAAAACATCATTTATAAATATTTAGAATGGTAGCTGATTATTATTTAATAGAGAGATAGTATCTATTCTATTCTCACAGGAGCTATGAGAGATGAGGAGCCAAAACTCTTTTTATAAAAGTTAATTTTAAAAGTGACACATTTACTGCCCTGTGTCCCCAACCCTATTATCTCCAACATCCCTCCCCCTCTCCCCTTTTACCCCCACTCTACTTTGTATCCCTAGGTATGTTCTCTCACCCTCTGCAAGTCCAACGCACCACTGTGGTCTTTCTTTCCTTCTTTCTTTCTCTCTTAGCTCCCACATATGAGTGAGTACATGCAGTATTTATCCCTCTGTGCTTTGCTTATTTCAGTCAACATAAGTTTCTCCAGGCTCATCCTGTTGTTGGGAATGGGAGAAGTTCATTCTGTTTTATGGCAAAGTAGTATTCCATGGTGTATATATACCACATTTTCCTTATCCAATCATCCATCAATGGACATTTATGTTGGTTCCATGTCTTAGCTATTGTGAACACAGCTGCAATGAACATGGGGGTGCGGGTATCCCTTTGACATGATGATTTCTGTTATTCTGGGTATATACCCAGAAGTGGGATTGCTGTATTGTATGGAAGATCAATCTGTAGTTGTTTGAGAAACCTCCATACTGTTTCCCATACTGGTTATACTAATTTACAGTCCCAACAACAGTGTAGGAGTGTTCCCTTCTCTCCACATCCTCGCCAGCATTTGCGATTCACCATCTTTTTGATTATAGCCAGTCTAACTGGGGTGAGGTGATATCTCAGTGTGGTTTTAATTTGTATTTCCCTGATGACTAGTGATGTTGAACATTTTTCATGTACCTGTTGGGCATTTGCATGTCTTCCTTTGAAAAATGTCTATTCAGCTCCTTTGTCCATGTTTTTAATTGGGTTATTTGAGGTTTTACTGTGTAATTGCTTGAGTTCTTTGTACATTATGGATATTTATCCCTTGTTGGTTTTTTTTTTAAAAAACATAATTTAGCAATAACTTACATAGAGAGGAACATATTAACACTGACCTAGAAAAATAGGTTTACATCTTGCTTTGCCAGTTACTAGCTGCTTAACTTTGATCAGATGATCTTTAACACCTGGTAAATCTTAGCATCTCAGACAAGTATAATAAATGCTCTGTAACGTTCTAGTGCCACACTGTATTACAGGATTCCTTTCATGTGAACTATTTAGTGACAAGTTACAAAGCTGTTAGAAAATTTGCTAGAAATACTAAAGAGAGCTTTATTTCAATGGCATAAAAAAAATAGGCTTTTCCTCCAAGTGATTTTAAGGAAAAGAAAAGGAGCCTATTTATAGTTGGAAGAAAAAAAATGGAAATTCAGGCTATTAGTAATGTGGTAACCAGATGTCTTTTAAAATTTTTAAATTGAGTGAACAATAAAATAAAATAAAATATTGGGATTCTGCATAAAAAAATACAAGATCCGTTATTTCTCAGATAATTTTTTCAGATAAAAGTCTACAATTAAGAAATAGCTAGACCAGGTATGTGGGGGAAGGGTATGGGAAGTATACGCACTTTATGCTCAATTTCTCTGTAAAGCTAAAATTGCTATAAAAATAAAGAAAAAAATAACTAGACCAACATAAAATTCACTGCCAGTAAACTGATGGCTTTAAATAAGATTGGTATGTGGGGGAAGGGTATGGGAAGTATACGCACTTTCTGCTCAATTTCTCTGTAAAGCTAAAATTGCTATAAAAATAAAGAAAAAAAAATAACTAGACCAACATAAAATTCACTGCCAGTAAACTGATGGCTTTAAATAAGATTATTCTTATTCTAAAACACTACATACTTAAGACTTCTCCAACACAGTAATACATGTGTTGGTATATGCAATAAAACTATAGTGTTATTATATTATTTACTCTTCATTTTTTTTATGACCTCTTTATATACATTTGATGTTACTAAAAATCAAAACGTTCAATGTTTTAAATTTTGTTTTGCTTTGGCAGGCTATATTATTTGAAAATATAGGTCTTATCAGACATGAAGAACTTTTTTTCACATTAATGAAAATGGATTTTACAAAACCAGTTTCAGATGAAAACATTACAGTGACTGACACAACCTTTATGGACATTCCGGTACGTTTGTACTTGCCAAAATGGAAGTCAAAAAGACAGAGACCAGCTGTAATTTTTCTTCATGGTGGTGCATTTGTCTTGGGAAGTTGCAGTAAGTGCATTTTATTTACATGTGAGTGTTTGCCTGGGGAAGTTGTACTACGTGCATTTTATTTGTGTGTGTGTTGCACATTATATATATTTATAGTAAAATATATTATGCATATGTATATATATATATATATAAAATTATCAGAACATTTGTTAATGTAGTAGTTATTTTTGTAAGCTTGTGCATATATTTTAGCAGAAAGAAAGAAGACTATATCAATCATGGTTCATACATATTTCTTCATACACAGCTTGGCAAATAAAATCATAAAAATATTAAATAAGATTTTTGTTTAAAAAACTTTATTATTAAATGAACTTATATTGACAGCATAGAATGAGACATTCAAGTAGTAAATTAAAAATTTAAATTTTAAATTACTGAAGGACCTGACTTCAGGTTCAGAAAAACTGAACTGAACTAGATGTTTTAAATGTTAAATCAGAAATGGTGCGATTTGTAGCTAACACGTAACTATGAAAGTTGTCAGAGTCAACATGTTAAAAAATATATATTAATAATAGCCCTGACAAAAAGAGCCAGGGAAGGCCATGAATGGTGGGTTCTCATGCATGAATGCCGGATGACAAAAATTATCAGGAAGGGCTCTGCCAAACCACAACCTTGCACAAAGGACATCGCAACTTACACAAAAAATACTTCTGCCAGGACATCCGCTCAGAAGCAGACGGAGTGGGCTGTCTGTCCAACCTTAGACTGGCATCACCCTTCTTACTGATCCTTGTAGCCAAGGATAATTATCCCAAAACAATTATGCAGTCCTCCATCACTTTTCCTTTAAAACCCTTTGTCTTCTTTTATGCACATAGGTGTCCTGTGGAGCACATATTTTCATTGCAATGCCCTATTCCCAAATAAAACTTTTTCTTCGAGACTTGTCTCTTCCTTTAAAACCCTTTGTCTTCTTTTATGCACATAGGTGTCCTGTGGCGCACATATTTTCATTGCAATGCCCTATTCCCAAATAAAACTTTTTCTTCGAGACTTGTCTCTATAATTTTTTAAACTTTAACATACATGTGTCAGAAGTGGAATAAAAACTTGATTCACCATGGAAAGATTAACAGCCCCTAGAATGGAGGATTGAGACGGTTTTGTTTTGTGGACAAGAGATCCTTTCCACATGATAACAAGTGGGGATTATAGGGATTCCACCAATTAATCACGATCCATATTTCTATTACATTTGACAAGTGTGGGTGTTTTTTATTGGTCTTTATTTACAGGGTACACCTTTATATTTATTTCTCTCATTTCAGAGCAGACACCTTATGACGTCCTGAACAGATTCACGGCAAACAAACTTGATGCTGTCGTTGTGGGAGTGGAGTAAGATAATTATTTTTAAAAAAATACTATGATCCTTGTCCTCACAAAATAGATTTGATTTCCAAAGCAAGTCACCCAAACCTCAAAAATGACTTGGATCATAAATATTTGTGGTTTATATTAATAACTTTTATTAGCATGATAATACTCATGCCTCCTCAAAGGAAACCAATCTCTGCCATTATAGAGACCTCTGAGAGGCACCACAGGGTGAATATCTTTGGCAACACAACTGTGATAATTTCTAGGAACATAAAACTCAGATCCTAGAAGGACCTAGTTTAATCTCCATGTGATATACCTGGAAAGAAGGAGCTTAGTTACCCATTACACATTTGAAATGTTGAGTTTTGGTTGAGCTGGTAATAAAAAGATGAATTTTAGGTGGAGGAACATCAGGTGACAAATGTTGGAACTGTCTGAGAATTTCAAGTCTTTCTCAAAATGAGAGATATTAGTAGCTTTTACAATTTTTTCCTGAATTTCCAAAAATATACCAGAAAGACTAGTAAGTGTCCAATACTTTCTGTCTTATTCAGGTGTACTCTGTACTACTAAAACCATCATCCTCAGGATAAAATATTTTTTCCATCTCCTGTCAATTCCAGAGTGCAGAAATATACTTAGAGACTTCTAGCCTGATGCTGGAAAGAGAACAGAGGGTAATTTCTTGTGAGAACCTAAAGGGGTCAAATAGAACACACAAGTAGAATACAATGCTGTTCTACTCATTATGGATGCATTACAGCAACCAGAAGAATCCCTTATGTTTTCAGAGACATTTCTAATTTATACTAATTAGGATGCTCTACTTTTCACTCTATAGTTTTAACCAAACATACAACGTTATCGTTTTAAACATACTCTTAAAATGGTTACATATGTTATACCTAGTTTAAGAATCTTATCAATTATTTATATTTGTCATTCTTATATTTTAGAAACAGAACACAATATAATAAAATTTCTAGGGTCATCTGGCCAACATGTAATGCTTAGTATTGAGAAATCATTCACTAATTCTAATTATAGATATTACAATTACTACCATAGTTAGCAATAAAAAATAAGACAGTCCAATAGAGGTGTGCTCCTATTTTGGAAGACAATGTTTGTGTGGGTATACATACATATATATATATATATATATATATATATATATATGCACATTAAAAGATGCTGTAATAATTCATCTTACAAACACACAATGTCTAAGGAAGACCCTTTACTATACTTAAATATTATTTATATTTCAAAGCTTTTATTTTAAGTCAAGTTTCCAGGTAGTGCTCATAATATGAAATAGGACACAAGTGTAGAATTTGGACCTAAATAAATATCTAATATAAGATACCTACAAATCATTTGCTTTTTCACATTTTTTGTTTTTAAAATTTCTTGGGCACTCCCAAGAATGGTTCTGAAAATTTTAAAACCCAAAAGTACAGGCAGCAAAAGCAAAAATAGGCAAATGGGATTACATCAAACTTAAAAGCTTCTGCACAGCAAAGGAAACAATTAACAGTGCACAGAGACAACCTACAGATTGTGAGAAAGTATTTACAAGCCATACATCAGATAAAAAGTTAATATCCAAAACATACAAGGAGCTCAAACAGCTCAATAGCAACCCCCCCCCCCAAAAAAAACCGAGTTAAAAATTGGGCAAGGGACCTGAATAGACTTTTCTCAAGGGAAGACACATTCATGACCAACATACATATGAAAAAATGCTCAACATTGATAATCATTAGGGAAATGCAAATTAAAACCACAATAAGATATCATCTCACACCTTTCATAATGGCTATTGTCAAAAAAGACAAAAAATAACTTTTGAGGATGTGGAGAAAAGAAAACCCTTGTACACTGTTGGTGGCAATGTGAATTAGTATAGCCATTATGGAAAACTCTATGGAGTTTCCTCAAAAAAAAAAAAAAAAGAAAAAAAGAAAACTACCTGAAAACAGAATTACCATATGATCCAGCAACCCCACTTTGGGGTATTTAACCAAATGATTTGACATCAGTTAGTCAAAGAGCTGTCTGCACTGCATGTTCATTGCAGCAGTATTCACAATAGCCAAATTATGGAAATGTTCATTGATGGATGAATGGATAAAGAAAATGAAGTGTATATATATATATATATATATGTATGTATACATATATATATATAATGGAATACTATTCAACCTTAAAAAAGAAGGAAATCCTGTTATTTGGGACTGCATAGATAAACTGGGAGGACATTACACCAAGTGAAATAAGCTTGGCACAGAAAGACAAATAGCACATGTTCTCACTTATATGTAGAATCTAAAACAATCAAACTCAGAGATGCCGAGAGTAGAATGGTGGTCACAGAGGCTGAGAGGTGGGGGGCATTGGGAGATGGTAGTCAAAGCGTACAGACAGCAGGAGTACGGGTTGGTTTGTTTGTTTTTTTTGATGTTCTATTGCACGGCATGGTGAATATAATTGGTAGAGTAAAATTGCTAAGGGAGTAAATTTCAAATGTGCTTACCACATAAAATGTTAAGTGATGAATATCCTATCTAGCTTGATTTCGTTATTCCATATTGTATTCATAAATCACAACATCACTCTTTATCCCACAAATTCGTACAGTTACAAATTGTCAATTTACAATTTTAAAAAATTGTTTTGAGACACCAACTACTCTGAGAATCTGATGAATGCTACACAACATCTCGCCTACTGATTGCTCTTCCCTGAAAATTTTACCCACAATTTTATGAGGGTGAAGACACATCCTTCTTTCTCACATCTCCCCATAGAATCAACACTTAAAAATCTTTATGTCAGAATCTACTTTTTATTTTAAAACAGAAGTTAGTAAGCCCAGGTTTAATTGATGAAATTAAATATTTGAAGTTGGTTAAATTGAGAGATACAGTTATGCATACTTAACAACAGGGATACATTGTGAGAAAAGCGTCATTAGGTGATTTCATTGTTGTGGGAACATCACAGAGTGTACTTAAACAAACCTATATGGTATATAGCCTAATACACACCTGGGCTATGTGGTATAGCCATTATAATATTATGGTACCACCGTGGTGTATGTGGTCTGTCATTGGATATATATATTTACACATTGGATATATACTGTACTTGGATATATACAACCTAAGTTTAATCATAATGCTTTGTTGATTTTTTTTCCCTGAAGCTATAGACTATCTCCTCAATATCACTTCCCCATTCCCTTTGAAGATACCATTTCTGTGGTCAAGTTTTTTCTACAGGATGAAATTCTTGCAAAATATGGAGTGGATCCCACCCGAATCTGTATTACAGGCGATAGTTCTGGGGGTACTTTGGCAGCCTCAGTGACTCAACTGGTATGTTTTATGTGTTATATATTTTATAACACACACATACTATAATTCTAACACAAAACAATCATTTTATTTCAGTTACAATATTTGTATTGGTTTTATATTTTAAACCAAAATGGCAAAAACAAACAACTTTATGTTCTTTTTGCATAATTGTACCTTAGACAGATGTGGTTTTAAAGGCATTGAGGGGGGACACTAAATGTAATGGTAAATAAGTCTCTTATTTACCCCACAAATTTTAAGAAAAATACAGCAATGTCTAAGAACTTACATTATATGACATTTAATATGACAGGGGGTTTGCTGCTCTCCTTGGGTAAATTCTAAAGTCTGCCAAGCATTTGGAATGATTGCAATCCATGTTTTAAACTCTGAAAAACGTCATAAGATAACATTTGGGCCATGTGTCCTGCTTTTATAGAAGAATGACAACTGTGACAAAAGAGAAAATTGGACTATGTTAAAGCCATTGCTGTGTGTAGTTAAATAATAACTGACCAAGTAAATTATATATTTGAAAAATGAATTCAGTTCAATACATAATTCACACCCCCAAAACTCTTTTTTTTTTATGGAAGAAAATTAACATAAGCCAAGGGATACTCTTTTCAATATATATCATGTTGTTCTTATTTAAGAAAAATAAAATAAAATAAAACCACCATGAATGATGAGGACTTCTTGGCATCCCATTTAGCATGTAAAAGGAGGAACATGAATCTAAATTCTGTTCCTGTCTTCATGATCTGAGAGCCCCTCTGGGTCTTTAGCTTTGAGAAAAAATGTATCTTAAAGCAGACGAGGCAAGTGGGGTTTTGGTCATGATTTAAAACCTTCTCTGTCTGCAGCAACAAATTGAAAAAGGGAGAGGGGACAGGAGAAGAGCTGTCCACAAAGAGGTGAAGGCACATGACGTGTAGGAGAACTTTGCAACAAGCAGAGCAGTGTGGGGAATGAAGTGAGGGGTTAAATGCTTATGTGCTATTATTGTTTGTGTGCAAGAGCTCTCTATATCATAATTTTAAAGTACATATATTTAGTTTTTGGAGATGATTCCAGTAACATCAATAATATTCACTGCCTTTCTCTAAACTAGACATCTCACATTTTAAGATAACTTTGTCTCCCATTATTAAACCATCATAAAATTATGATTAAATTAACATAAATTTTTAATCTATCAATCCATACAAAGCTCATAAAATGCCAAAAAAAATTCAGGCATTATTGTCTTCATGCTCTGTTTAACGGGGACATCATCATACAAATAGAGGCTCTGAGAAGAATAAAATGAAAAGTTTTTATTATCAGACTTCCAAATTAGGAAGTGGCTTTTCTAAAAAAAAAAAAAAAAAAATAGCCAGGAGCTCAAAAGATGTGTACTCCTTAGTTTTAGATAAGCACTAAACTTATTATTACCAAAATCTGTTGGGAATTATAGTGCAGAGAAATTCTCAGGGCCTGCCCAGCTTCCTTACTGTCTTACTTCCTGAAGATAGATGTTCAGAAATAGAACAACTTGATGTTTAATGCTTGGGAGGAATATTTGCCAAATGAGTTTTACCAATTTGTTTAGATACTAGAAATGTAGATAAGTGTCTGCTTTATTCCATTCCCACATGCAGTACATAATTATAAATATTTACAATAATCTCATTTTTTTACACAGGTAAAGGGATATTTATTCCACTATGGTTTTAATGTACATTTCTTTCATTACCAGTAAAATAGAATATTTTTTTACTGGCAATATAAAAATTATGAATGATTTTATTTCTTTAGTAAGTTCTCTATACATGCTTATTCTTGGGATGAGATATTGACCACTGTTTGCAATTTATTTTGGTGAGTGTTCATCCTTTACATGGCAATGGGCTTATGTTTTTAAAAAATTTTCTTTATTTTTATACATTTAGAAAATTTTAAATGTTTAAAATTTTGGTGGGCCGGCCCGGTGGCGCACTGGATAGTGCGCCGCTTGGGAAGCGCGGCGGCGCTCCCGTCCGAGGGTTCGGATCCCATGTACAGACCGGCTCCCGCTCACTGGCTGAGCGAGGCGCGGGAGCAACGCCGAGGCTTGTGATCCCGTCGCCGGTCCCCGGTCCGGTACGGGGGCAACACTGAGGGTTGCAATCCGTTGCCGGACACGGAAAAAAGACAAAAAGACAAAAAAAAAAAAAAAAAAATTTTTGGTAAAATTTGGTTATGATTTTTATTTATTATTCCTATTAAGTTTCAAAAGACTTTCTGTTTTAGAAATTTGAGAAAATAATTATTATAATGTAGAGTATATATTTCTTATCTATATATGCCTACATATGATCTGTTCTACCTCTAAAATTATTAATACACCAGTACCTCTGTGTTACTCACATTATGGTCTTTGATATGCTTTAATATCTTATGAAACTGAATTCAATTATTATTCTTATTTTAATTTGACATTTACTATACCTTTTCACCTGCCAAACCCCATCAGACTTCACCTATGTCTTGTCAAACAAAAATGGAACCAAGCCAGTGGTCAGGCTAGAACATAAACATTTTTAGGAAAGATAATTATTTTCCATTGCCTCTAGGAATAATACTAAATATAGTTAGTATTTATTGAACACTTACTATATTCCTGGTACTCTTCATGAGAACCACCTCATTTTCACCACACAAAGACTCTATGCATTATTGACTAATATTATCTCCATTTTAGAGATCAGGAAACTGAGGCTTTGAAAGGTTAGGCAAATTAATCATTAAATTAATACATGCACACCCAGGACTCACACTGATATAAGAGGTGCTCAGTTTCCCTGGGCTTGGGTTTCAGGACACACCTCTGTGTTTCAAACCACTCCCCAGGATCTCAAGCCCCTCCTCTTTGCCCTCCCCTAGGGGAGAGTTACTGTTGCTAGTTAGACCCATTTCTAGCACCAACATGGGGTGATTGAGACCAGGAGGGGCTGACTTATGCAAGTTAGGTAGCTGAGTATGCTCAGTAAAAGGAATTTATACCAGCTTATATGATCCCAGTGACCAAACAGTGGAAGGGAATTTGTCCTTTGAATGACCTTCCACTAGAGGTGCTGAAGATCACAGAAGATTCTTGAATAGGCCTGGTGCCTGTGATGGGATTTGACCAGTGGACATGCGCCACAAAGAAACCAACTGAGCATGTGAAAGACTATGTGACATAGCAGGGAACCACCCCTTAATTGAATATTCATTAGATAACATGAATATATATTCGATGGTGAAACTATAAAAGCTGAATCATGGCAGGAGGCGGGGCTGTTGCTTACTCTCCTGGAGCCAGTCCACACTCTGCCTGCAGAGCACATATTTCTTTCTTTTTGTATCAAGCTTACTTTCAGCAAGCAGCTGCTCACTCTCTTGAGCCAGCCTGCACTCTGTACTGAACTTTAAATATGTATTTCTCACTTTTGTATTTGACTTGGTGTGGACCCTGCTCAGTCTCTGGAGCTAGGCTGCACTTTCTCTGTGGAATCTGTATCTCTTATTCATTACATTAAACCTGTTCTCACTTTCCACTGTGACTCTGCTCTTGAATTCTTTCCTGTGGTGAAGTCAAGAACCTGGTAAGAGGACAGGATGGGTTGAGGATGACTATTGGACCTCCCAGCCCATTCCTCTGGCATCAAAACTAACATGTGAAGGACTCCAAAGCCTGTACTTTCAAACACTGGATGATACTGCCATTCAGTCTCTTCCCCACTGTTAGGTTGTATACTGGACTTCAATATCATATCATCATGAGTATGCTTTTGAATGTGAGACTGTTTTCATGCCCTGCTTCAGGGACACAGAGTGGAATGTGAGATTGCTTGGGAGAAGCAGGAAGCAGGGATGGGAAGGATGAATCCGTAGGTAGTAAGATGGAGTCAGCTCGGCAGCAGTTTGATGATACTGAGCACCCTAGAAAGCCCCAGGTGAAAGTCCTCTAGCACTCAGCGTGGGTTGAGTGTGTGTCCTGGGATAAAGCCAAAATACTTCTCTCACCACGTTCATCCATGGTAGCCCATTGTTTATTTAAACATTGTCAGACTTTCTTCATGCTGGAATAAATGGGAGGAGCCAGGGAGCCAATGGGAAAGGGAAATTAATGGGGGCAGGAACTCAATTGGATATTCTGGATGAAAAAGAGAAGAACTGATCATTAAGGTGAGAAAGATTTCTCACTAGGTCAAGTACTGAATGAATATTTTGTGTACGTCTCTCTTTCCATGGCTGTACGTGGGAGGGTGAGACTTGGAGAACTTCAAATACTACATGCCCAAACCACCGGATAAATGTCAGATGCATTTGTAAATCAGTGCCAAGGTCTACAGGTGGAGTAGGGAAGGCTCAGGGATTGTGAGGTACTTGACTCAGGGAATAAAATACAGTTCTTCAAAAGGACGTCTATCTCAGAAAAGAGCTATGTCCAGGTGGATAACCTCAGAGCCGTTTGAAACATGAGAGCATGTTCAGTATTGCTTCAGATGTTCGGCAGCGTTGTAAACACCAGCTACAGGTGTCCGTGGAAGCTATCACACTGAAAGACCAGTAAAGGCAATGGGAGCAGTTGAGTGCTACAGACCCCTCTGAGCAGAAATTAAAGTCATAGAGCAGTACTTACCAGCACGTTGCATCTGCACCCAATTAACATATCCCCCTCGGGGTGGGGCCACAGGCCCCATTGGGTGTGGATTTAAAGGAGAGATGAAAAACAGTCTGAGGCAAAATAGAACCAAAAGCCCGGCAGGGGAAAAACCAAAAACTAAAACTACCCAATCTAAAGAGGTCAATGGAAGATGGCAACCAGGTGCTATGAAGTTATGGGATAGTAAGTACAGATATCAAGATTATTAAGAAAATTATTAGCATGTTAAGGACATAGAGCGTAGATCATGTTCATGAGATGCATATACGAGTACTTTTAAAAGGAAAAAATATATGTATATGTGTGTATATATATATATATATATATATATATATATATAAAT